CCTCTGGTGTTATTATTAAAGAATGCATTTTCATCAAAAATAATAAAGCACAGATACGGTATGGGAACGTTACAGCAGGAACACTTAAATGGAAAACCAAAGAAAGATCCCGGGTGTCCTCACCGGGATGTGAACCGGCGACCTTCTTGCTGTGAGGCAACGGTGCTACCACCAAGTCACCTTGCAGCCCTCCTTGAGAACATGTTGTAAAAAAATGCAGGTCATCTTATGTGTCAAAATTTCGGGATCAATCCTCATTCCAAAGAGTTTTTTCGGTTACACTTCATGAGCCCCACCCACTGGTTGCTGTAAGTTTCGATTTCCAGTCAGTGAAACCTGTGAGAGAGGGCTGCTCTAACCCGCTGTTGACAGCAACCCGTCCTCCCTTCATCAGCCCCCCCAGCTGTTTGCTGTGAGCCTCCATCTCCGGTCATTGCGACCTGCTAGAGAGGGCTGCTGACTTTGAGAGACCGCAACTTCCCCCGTGTGAAAGGAAATCCAAGTCAAGTTATTTGTAAACGCTGTAAAAATGAATTGTGACCCTTAAAACTCTGATAAGGATGGACTCTCTGATGGGCAATAGTGGAGTTTAAACAGTGGGAAACAGCTGACATTCTACTCCAAGTGTCGATTAAAAAGTGTTTTCACGTGTCTCTGCTGAAGTGTTTAACAATTGAGCAGTTGAACAGTCGGTTGAATGAGCAGGAAAAACAACACGTCTCGGCTGCCTAAACGAAGGCCCAGCAAAATGTTCCAGAGGTAAAAAGTTTGAAGCGTCTCCTTCAACTCTTGTTAGTCCATAATGGAGGACACAGACACACTGTCTGACACAGCAGCTGAATGAAGTCTTTCGTTATCGGAATTCTGTCTTGTACGGACAAGTAATCAGGGCGTAGCTGGAGCAACATCATCACACCTGATTCCACCCTGGACCACCCCGGAAGTCTGAGTTAGGGATATTGTCTGCTCACTGCACTGCTGGCTGTGACAGAGAGAGAGGCTTCCCCATCTGATATGAACTCACACATGGCTCTCTGAACTTCTCAGTCGTTTTGCTTTTTTTTTTTTTACCTTTTTTTTGTTAATAATTAACATTTATAAAAACAAAACATTTGATCATTGCATTGGCACTATGATGACCCCTGAGGTCATGTTGAGGGTGTATCACACACACACACCACTGACTCAATGGATTCACACAACCCCTACCAGTTTGACTTTAGTTTGTTTTAATGTAAGTTAATAAAAATAAGCTTTAATTGTGATTCTCTGTTTTTTTTTAGCCAGGCCGTAACAAATGGGGGCTCCTTTGAACCAGAGACTTCTTGCACCCGAAGTGAGAATCACTTGACCTACACTTTTCTGTGTTGGTTTAGATTAGGTTTCGTCCTTCCATCCCATGAAACTGTCCAATCTCTTCAACTAAAATGTCCAGCATCTATGTTGTTAATCCTCCCCTCGGTCAACAGTTGACTCAGCTGACTTTAGTCCAACAGAACCAACCACAGACAGAACAATACAGACTTATAATGACTTATGATGTCTGTAGATCAAAGTGAAAACATGTCAGATCCTTTTCTGTATCAGGTTAATGAGTAATTAATTTACCATCAGTTATCTTTGGGGCGGCTGTGGCTCAGGTGGTAGAGCGAGTCGGTCAATGTTTGGAAGGTTGGCGGTTTGATTCTGCCCTGTAACCTGTTTCATGGTTGTTGTGTCCTTGGGCAAGGCACTTCACCCACCTTGCCTGGTGTGAACGTGTATGAATGGATTGTTTAAGGTAGTGGTCGGAGGGGCTAAAGGCGCAGAATGGCAGCCACGCCTCAGTCATTCTACCCTAAGGCAGCTGTGGCTACAATCGTAGCTACCACCACTGGAATCAAAGTGTGTGAATGAATAATTGACAGTGTAAAGCAAGTCTGAGTGTCTAGAAAAGCCCCACATAAATCTGATTAATTATTCTTATTCTTATTCTTCTTCTTATTATTATTGTTATTATTATCTATACATTGCTTAATGTCGCAATCGCAACGGTCTGGAGTCGATCCCAGCTGACTAAGAATGAAGGCAGGGGACACCCTGGACAGGTCACCAGTCTATCACAGAGCAACACAGAGAGACAACCAAGCACACTCATATTCACACCTACGGACAATCTAGAATCACCAGTTCATCTCAGCATGTTCTTGGACCATGTGGGAGGAAGCCGGAGAATCTGGAGAGAACCCACACTGCACAGGAAAACAGGCCCAGGACATCTGAGCCTGGGATAGCTGTGAGGTGAAAGCACCAACCACCAAGTCACTGTGCAGCCCTCATAGTCAATCTGTGAACCCCATGTAACGTTAAACATTTAAAATAGTAAAATACCGACCTCTGGTGTTATTATTAAAGAATGCATTTTCATCAAAAATAATAAA